GTAGCAAGTGTCTAAGGACAGATTTAAATTCATGAAGATGAGTCTTCCTGACTCCAGGCCCAGCGTTCTATCCACTGCCCACCTAGTTGCCCCCAAACATAGATAGATACATAAATACGTAGACAGAAAGAAAGAGACAGATGTATAGATAGGTAGAAATAGAGACAGATAGATAAACACAGAGATAGACAGATAGATACAAACAGAGACAGACAAATAGACAGACAGCCAGAGCTAGGTAGATAGAGATCTAGATAGATATGGGCTCATGCCCATGTAACGTAGTGGACAGAGAACTCTCCTGAAAGACAGAAAGTTCTGGGTTCCAGTTCAACCTCTGTCACTCACAAGCTGTGTGAACCTTTCAGTTTCCCTAGCAGCTCTCGAAGACTATAAGGTACAAAAAAAAATTGCAAGTTTGCATTGATAGAGAGAATTTCCTCACTAAGCACTCCCTATAGCCACAACTAGGTGGCTCAGTGGGTAGAGCACTAGGCCTGGAATAAGGAAGACCTGAGTTCAAATCCCACCCCACGTATTTGGCTGTGTGATTTTGGGCAAGTCTCTCAACTTCTGTTAGCCTCAATTTCCTCTACTAGAAAATGGGGGTAATAATAGCACCTACCTAAAAGGGTTGTTGTGAGGATCAAATGAGACAGTAATTATAAAGCACTTAGCACAGTGCTTGGCACATAGTAGGAGCTATACAAATGTTTATTCCCTCTCACCAGGTTTGGACAGTATATATGTATACACATGGGTGTGATATGTATGTATAAGTACTTAGTGCATATTATAACTAATATATATGCACACATTCCCATGTACCATTCATATAATGCTACCTATATCATAGACATTTTTCATAATTCATTTCACATATTCATTCCCAACCAGGCAAACTGACTTTTTTCAAATTATCATAGTGACTCCTAAAATCCGGAAAGGCCCTCTGGCATAGGCACCAACACTCCGTCTCCAACAGAATATACTCTAACATTCAATACCAGATAACTTTAAATATCAATACCAAAAATCCTTGGATCCTGTATTTCTATCCCCTCCTATCATTTTCACCATGAACAGAACACTGACTTTTTGCTCCGTGGTCTTGTTTTTGAGATTCATGATTTGATCCAGAGAGGGCATTATTAACAGGACCTGGATCCTGAGGGAGGGTGGAGAAGAATTGCCTCACAAAGGAAAGAGGGCAGGGATTGTTGTAAAGCCTGACTTGTATACTAAAGCCAAGAGATGGGGAAGGAAAATGTATCTTCTTACATGGAAAATTGAAGATTAAAAGTTTGGGCAAGAGGTGACTATTGTATCATTTTTCCTGTTAGTGTTCTGCATCTCTTTAATAGGAACCAACTACAAAAAAGAGAGAAAGAAAAGAAAAAGTATTCTAAATAACGACAGAAGATCAGCATCTGGTTGGCAGGGATTTGCTCAGTCTCTGGGCTTAGGTTATTTTCCATGGAAGCTATGTCTAACAGTGTTCTTTTGTGGGGGACAAAAAGTCACCCTGGCTCAAGGAATAAGAGAAGAGGTATCAGAGAACCTCTTGGTTTGAAAAGATCTCAGAGGTCATCTAGTCCAAGCCCTCCCAAATGACATGGACAACAAATGGACGTCTGGCCTCTGCTTAAAGATTTCCAGTGAGGGGTAACCCCCTGCTTCCCAAGGCAGCCTATTCCACTCTCAGATAGATCTAATAAGAAGTTCATAAATGCACTTTTCCAGAATTCTCTGACACAAAATCAAATAATATTATTTTTCTCCTACATAATGTTAGCCCATCCAGTCCTTGAAAGCAGCCAGCATTTGTACCCCTACCCATAGTGACTTTTTCTTCAGGTTAAACATCTCCATTTTCTCCAGTGGATTTTTTTACGGCACCATCTTGAGCTGTTTCACCATCCTGACCCTTTCCTCTAGATATTGTTCAGCTTATCAATACCCTTCCTGAACTTTGGTCCCTCAGAACTAGTCAAAATGCTCATTATATGGACATACCAGCACAGAACAGGGAGAACTCTAATGTCTCTAGTTCTGGTCTTTCATCCTCTCTTAATGTTGTCTAAGATCTCTTCAGCTTTTCTGCCATATTGAAACATTCCCTTACAGACCGATAAAATGCTTAGATCTTTTTTTCAGATGAAGTGCTGTCTACTTATGCTTCCCTCCATCTTATTCTTCTGAAGTTGATTATTTGGATCCAAGTATAAGACTTTTCTTTTATTCTTATCAGATTTCATCTTACTAGATGATGCCCAATATTCTAAGTTTTCTGGAGCTTTTTGGAATCTGGTTATGTCATCTCTTACATTAGCAACCCCTCCTAGATTTGTGTCATCTATAAATTTAACAAGCATGTTATTTATTAGTAAGGATGACTTTTTTAATCACTAAAGAGCAGGAGACATTCAGAAAGAAGATGGAAACACTACAGAATCCCCCTTGTCCCCACACATCTGACTCTCAAAAGAACTGATTTCAGTGAAGTCTTGGTTGTAGTATCCAAAAAGCACTTTACTACTTGTAGATAGAGCTCTACACTTCCTGAAAATAGTTACTTCTGTTTTATTGAAAGAATACGTTGTCCTCTATGTGCATGAATAGATTGTATTGTCTCAGAATTCCCTCTGTTTTCAGGGTCAGCCAATCACCTGGTTTAATTGAAAGAGCAGTCAGAAGATTTGGGATTGAGTCCTGGCTCCATAATTTTTCTATTCATATTGGGTTGGCCTCAGTATCTTTATCTGCAAAAATGGGTTTGAGAAAAATACTTATAGTACTTATTAGAGAATTATTGTGAAACTCAAGTGAGATTATATATACAAAGCATTTTAAATGGTGAAGTGTCACAAAAATGTGAACTGCTATTATTACCACATGAAAATGTGTAAAAAAAAACCCAAATAATTAAATATAGCCCATTTCAAACCTCCTTCCTGGTTCTAATATTGATGTCTTCTGGCCTCATAGAAACAATATTTAATCATGAAAAACGTTGATTTCCTTACCCCCTCATGTAGTTCACCCCAATATACTGATGTACTGATAAAAAGCACTCAACAATTCCACACAGCTACATTCGCTTATTGGAAACAAGGGTCAATATTGATATAGTACTGCACTGAGGTAGGAGTCAGAAGACTTCAGTTTTAATTCTGATTCTGCCATTGACCAACCATGTAACCTTGGGTAAATCACTTATGCTCTCTCAGCCTCAGTTTCCCAATCTTCAAAACGGAAATAATAGCACTTGTATCTCTCTTGAATAGCATTGGTAAGGATCAAATGATATAATGGAAGTGAAACCACTATAAAAACTATATAAATGAAGTGCTCTGGAAATGTAAATTATTTATTACCAGTACTATTATAAGAATCATTATGTGAACATTACATTTCACCAGTCTGTTTCGCAAATGTAAAGAAAAAAGGGAGAGAGGGAAAGAAAGAATGAAGGAAGGAAGGAAAAAGAAATTGTCAAATAGCACTGAAAGATTCTGACTATCTGGGTGGTAAAACTGTACTTGTTTCTTGTTGGTTCCAATGTTCAGTAATCCCACCTCACAGTTCAAGCGACAGAGATGTGTGTTTCCTAACTGTGCGCTAGGAAACAGAAACCATGTCTTTGAAGTTTGCCGACTGTATGTTGCATCCACTTTTATTAGTTGGTCCTCTCTTACTGCATTCCAGTTGCTCTTGTGACTTGAATGGGAGATTGGGCAGCAACCCTGAAGTAGTATGGAATATATTGCTTTGGTTTTATGTCTTAACACTTCAGGCGGATGAAAAGAACAGTCCTTAAACCAGCAAGTCTCTGCAGACTTGTATCTCCAGCAGAATAGAATTCATTTTTTCCATTAGTAAAACCAAATGACCTGTTGGTAAATGTCTGAGGGAACAGATCATAGAGAGAAGAAAACTAAAGGCATATTTGAGTTTATGGAGATACCTAATTTTCCATCCCTCCACCATGGTCTTCTTTATCTCAGGCATGTTATTCATCAAGGAACCCTGACACTATTTACTGGAAAGTAATAGCACTGTTTACCACAGAGTGGATTTAATCTGCTACTCATTGTTTTCATCAGTTAAATAAAACTGACCTTTCATCTTTTGCATTGTGCTTCCAATGAAGCCCTGCCAGAACCACTAATGATCTGTGCTCATTGGACAGCTGCAAAACATTCTCCAGGAGTCAAAGAATGATGGGATCACCAACTCATTCAGAGACAGAGAAGGCTAGTCTTCCAAGTCACCCAAGCTAATATAGTGGTGGCCTATGCAGCCCTTGGGTCCCCACGAAGATGGAAAAGTGGGAATAAAAACAGGGAGGAAGGGAGACTGAAGCTCCCATAGTGAAGATCACTAAAGGAAGAAGGTGAGTATTTTCTCCTTTTTAAGAAAAAAAATAGAGCTTTAAAATTTCACAATCATTTCCTGATTTACTACCCTCTGACATTGAATCCTCCCTTGTAACAAAGAAAACAAACAGTATGATATATTCTGTACCTGTAATCCTCCACATGTCTATTGAGAGGAAAGATGTGTATTACATCCTCTGTTCTCTGGAACTCTGATTGTTTATTATGATGAATGTGAATTCAGTTTTAATTCACTTTATTGTTGTCAAGAAGTTCAAGAAAGACTTCCTATGTTTTTTTTTCCAAATTCCTCATATAATTGTACTTTCATTTGGCTCAAAAATACTCCATTAAATCTATAGACCACAAATTGTCAGTCATTCCCTAGGTAATGGACACCAGCTTTGTTTCTAGTTTTTTGCTACCACAGAAATGTTGCCATGAATATTTTGGTATGTGTACAGGGATATGATGGTAAACATTTAATAACTGACTTTCAAAAAAATCAAACGTATGCAAGACACACCTTAATCTGAATCATAAACATTTTTCCATCATTTATTAAGTCTAGAAAATGAACAAGACAATAAATTAAACCTTGATTTGTTCTGATTTCCCAAGGTGCAGATACTCACACGGAAAATTTAACTGGTTCTCCTAGCCAGTTGAAGCGGGTTCCAGCATACCACTGCATATATGAAATCTTTCTGTCTTTGACCTTCTTTAGGTCAAACTGGTAAGATCATTTATCTTTCTTAATTTATTTTTTCACTTTTAAAAAATTATTTTTATTTCATTAAATATTTCTTAATTGCATGTGAACATTTTTAAATAATCTTTTTAAAAATTTTGAGTTCCTTATTTTCACATACACACACCTTGAGAAAGCAAGTAATTTAATTTTGATTATACATGTGAGGTCATGCCAAACATATTTCCATGTTATCCATGTTTCAAAAGAAAACATAAACAAAATGAAATAATAAAAATAATGAATTTTTTAAAAAAAGTATGCTTTAGTCTACATTCAGAATTTATCAGTTCTCTCTATGGAAATGGATAACATCTTTCATTATAGGCCCTTTGGAATTGTCTTAGAACATTACCTTCCTCAGAGTAGCTAAGTCTGTCACAGATGATCATCCTTTCAATATTTCTGTCACTATGTGCAGTGTTCTTCTGGTTCTGCTCACTTCACTTTGCACGAGTCTTCCCAGCTTTTTCTGAAATTAACCTGTTCCTCGTTTCTCATAGCACAATAGTATTCCATCACAATCATATACTACAACTTGGTCAGTCATTCTCCAATTGATGGAAATCCCTTCAATTTCCAGTTCTTTGCCACCATAAAAAGAGCTGCTATAAAATGTTTTTGTACAAATAGGTCCTTTTCCCTTTTCTTTGATCTCTTTGGGATATAGGCCTAGTACTACTAGATACTATTGGGTTAAGGGGTATGCACAGTTTTATAACCTTTTGGGCATGGTTCCAAATTGCTCTCCAGAATAGTTCACAACTGCACTAATAATGCATTGGTGTCCCAATTTTTCACACCCCCTGCAGCATTTGTCATTTTCCTTTTCTGTCATGTTAGCCAATTGATAGGTGTGAGGTGGTATTTCAGAGTGGTTTTAATTTGCATTTTTCTAATCAGTACTAATTTAGAGCATTTTTCATGTGACTATTGATAGATTTTATTTCTTCTTCTGGAAACTGCCTGTTCATACCCTTTGACCATTTATCAATTGGGAAATGGTTTTTGTTTTTATAATGTTGGCTCAATTCCCTATACATTCGAGAAATGCTTTTTTTTAAAAGAAACTTGCTGCAAAATTTTTCCCCTGGTTTCCTGTTTTCCTTCTAATTTTGGCTACATTGGTTTTATTTGTGCTTCCCATCTCCCAGAAAGCTGTTTCTTGGAACCAAGAATTTTTAGTAGCTTACATTGTAATAGGGAGATGTGGCACAGAGAACTACATACATATTTAACTATACGTTTAACACCTAACTAGGCACATACAAGATTCACGCAGAGTAGATGGGAGGTAATCTGAGAGGGGAAGGTACTTGCTACTGAGAAGAGCAGGGAAAAGCCTGGGTGTGACTACTATGAACTCTGGCACTCACTCTCGAACCCCCTTCCTCTTACAGACCTTCCAAGTATCATTGTGACACTTTGTGTGGGATTTATGCTTCTTAGACATTATTATCCTTCCTCAAGAACAGGGATAGGGGGTTTCTTTTGTACATTTCAAAGAACCAAGAATATTATCAAAAACTTGGTAGGAACTTGGCATATAATTATTGGATTTTATTTAATTTAACTTCACACATAAAGTTGACAGGTGATGTGGGACCACCCATAAAATTCCCATGCTTGCTTGGCAGTTCAACATATTGCCGATTGAATGTCTGGTCTCCGAGTTTTATTTTCTTCGTTTACAAAATGAGGGGATTAGAGGAGGCAATTGTTGATGTTCTGTCCTCTAAAATTATAGCTCATTTGGAATAGGATACAAGTTAACTTTGGATGCACCTGAATTTAGGTAAATGTATAAAAATTAAAATTTATAAGAAACAGAAATTGTGCACCACATGACCTCTCTTGTTTTCTATCAGCAAGCCCTGAGACTTGGCTCATTGCTGCCATCTCTCTCCATACTGTGCTGTGACCACTGAGTGTAGCCTGAAGAAGGGAACATAGGCCTTTTCTGTTGTCCTTGCCCTGATCCCTAGAAATAGCACATAACCTTTATATTACTTTTTTCTAAAACAAAGCAAAATGAAACAAAAATGCTTTTACAGTGAGGCAAAGATATACTTCAAGTTTGAGAATACAGCCTGTTGACTGATTTTCTCAAGGGCAGCTTCCTAGTACAGAGCCTCCCAAAGCTTGGCGTATTGGTTCTATGTCCCACCAGGCCCCTCCCTTTGCCTCACTATAAACATTGCCTCATGAGTGGTGAAAGGTCATACCATATTTATGGTAGAATCATAGAATATTAGAGCTGGGAGACACTTTCAAGATCCTGATAGGATGTAAGTTGGAGGGCCAATTGCTCAAGATCATGGCAAAGTGAATTGAAAACCAACCTTGGAGCCAGGAGAACTCGGTTTCATGTCCTAACTCTAACACACACTTGTGTGACCATGAGGAAGTCAATGCTTTAGGCAATACTCTAACACTGTAAATTATAGAGAAGGTTGACAATGTCCATTGATAGAAGTCTTCTCATCCAAGAGTTCCTTTTACTAATGAAATCATAAGCCCAAGTCCAAGCCCCATTCCCATCACTTCCAGTACCTAACACGGTGCCTTGCGTATAGTAAGGGCTAAAAACAAACAAAATACACTGTTGAGTTTAATTGATTTGATTCACCTAATCCAACATTCTCATTTCACAGCTGGTAGGCAGAAAGCACCACGAGGAAAACTCATTCCCTTTGACTTTGAGGACCTGAGAGAGGAGGAAGAGGCAGGCAAAGTTTAAACTTATTCCTCTGGATTGAAAGATGTTTAACAATTATCTCTAAGAAAAACAAGTATTCAAAAATGCTGAATGAGAGAGATGATTGCATCATTATGGAATTAACCATTTGCTCTCCTGAGCAATCTGTAGACAAAAAAGTTGTTCTAGCTCAGGGACTTTTTTACCTGAAGTCTGCGAACTTTTTTTCTTCATATTTTGATAACTGAATTTCAATATAATTGGTTTCTTTGGAACCCCAATGTATTTTACTTAATATGTTTAAAGCCATTATTCTGAAAGAGGTTCATTGGCTTCATCAGTCCACCAAAGGGTTTCACAACAACGACAAGATTAAGAACCCCGTTCTAGACTTTGAACACCAAATTCAACTTGTATATATTCTAAAAAGGAAACCATTCTCATTTCATCTAAGGCCGTAATGGAAAGGGATGCCATCACAGTCCAAGGATATTCAGGCTGGTCAGCCTAGGTCTGAAATAACTTTACATTACTATAGTGTAGGAAATTTAGGATCACTTATTTTGGACAATGTGCATTTATTTATGGACAAGCTAATTCCTTTATCCTAATGCATCTTATAGGAGCTATAAAAGGTAGAAAAAAGAAGAAAGATATAAAGACAACTCACTTCATATATATAGGCGATACATACTGGTGATGATACCATTATGAATGTATTGATGGATGGATATATGTATCTGCAGGAGGGAAGATACTAAGACATGCAAAAAATCTCAGACTTTATTAATATCAAAAAGGTGATTAAGAGAACATATAATTACTAACCTATACGTCAACTTCCCCATCTATTCATAGTAATCAAAGGCACCATCAATGAGGGTATTAGTAAGGGAGTAAACAGGATCCACAAGAAATATTCAACAATAGACATAGTTATCATTTCATGATTAGCTGAAGGATGAAGGGATTAGAAAATCCTATTGTGGGAACAATTTGTTACCTAGAGAAAATATTTTTATTTGCCTTATGGACTCTTCTATTGCAAGGCAAATTTTATTCATACACAGCAAAGTTCCTTGAAAAATATAACAATAGGGAAAAAAATCCTTTAATGACCTCTTGGTAATAGCAAATATCACTAAGAAGCATAAAAGAGGGAGATAAACGCTCACATATACATGCATACATATATCTATACACATACATATTTATATACATATACATACACATACACATATACACACATATACATACACATAAACATATACATACACATATACATGATCTCACAAAGGGATAGGTTACTGTAAGCAAAGAGATCTAGCACAGAATCCAGGTCAGTGAGGGATTTCCTGAGGATGGTGAGGTCCTCCAGATGCTTCTGCTTGTGTTAATTTAGCCTGTTTCAAGAAGATTACAGTGCCTTCTGGAAGAAATCATGATCGTTCAAAGGTGTTTAGTCCATCTTATCCACACAGTGAAGACCAAATGGATGAAGAATATCTAATGCTCAGCTTGTCCAGAACTATTTCTATCTGGGATAGATGATTTCGGTGGACAAAGAGTGGGGCCCAGAGTTGAACAGGAGTTGCAGAGAGGGCTGGATTACTTTTAGATAATTCAAAAGCTCTTTTACTGAACCCCAAGCTTCCCTTGGAAGAAAAGGCTGATTTTTTTCAACACTAACACTTACCAGTGCTGATATAGGGATATGAAATATTGCTGCCTCCAGCAAACCAATAATTAGCACCCCCAGAAGACAATGGAGATGGTCATGGTGGATGCCAACACACTACAATACATAACCAATAAGAACCTACTATTTTGTATGCTTTTCTATAGCTGACACTTAATAAATGCTCATTGTATTGAATTGGATTGGATTGGATTAAAATGAAATTGCAAGTCATTGTGGTTGCCGTAATGACAGGAGAATGTCAGTGTATTGCTAGTGGGTGACTATATGATTCCCAAATCAGAGTACTCTAATGCTAGAATAGTTATCAGTGAGACCCATCAAATCACCAGCTTGGTCCAGATGTATATTAGAGCAATTTAATAAGCAGAGAGAGTTTACATCACACAAAATCTCTCAACCCTATTTGCTTTTGTAACCCATGCCTAAACTAGGTGGATGAACCATCTTAAGGCCCACTTTTGGCCAGATTGATGAGTGTGGCCTATCTCCTTGATGCAGATCCAGAAGTATTTCTCAGTAACTCCAAATATGTAGCAGATTTATAAGTATTGATCAATTTGACGGCATGTGACAGGTAGAGGAAAG